CAAGAAAAACTAGAAAAAATAAACCTAAAACAAACTCAAGAACAAGGTAGAGAGATATGAAAAAAATCACACAAATACAAATAAAACAAATATACATAAATAATTAATGAGGAATAATTTTTTTAATCCTTTACGGATTGAAAAAAATAAGTCAGATGAGCACACAGACAGAAAAAGTAATTCATCCAATACAAAGTCTTAAAAAAAAATTTTAAACTAGCCTCAGACTTTTCCATAGCAACTGTCAATACCAAATGGAAAGCCCAAAGTTGTGAGGGAAGCTAAGATGATCTGCAAGTATGAAAGCAATACACAATTCTTAAACATGTAAGAACACTTACAAGGCTTTCCTCAAAACTACAGGATGATTAAATTTAACTAATCAAGAAACAGATCAAGATAATTCAGGAATAGTAAAAGAAATAGTGGTGAGCTCTGATTCCATTTAGATATAAGGATAAGACAAAAGGACTATGAAAAGTGTGGCTTACTGGTTGGGCTTGGTGGCTCACTCCTGTAATCCTAGCACTCTGGGAGGCTGAGGCAGGAGGATCAGTTGAGGAGGTCAGGAGTTCAAGACTAGCGTCAGCAAGAGTGAGACCCCATCTCTACTAAAAATAGAAAGAAATTAGTTGGGCAAATAAAAATAGAAAAAATTAGCCAGGCATGGCAGTATGCATCTGTAGTCCCAGCTACTCAGGAGGCTGAGACAGGAGGATGGCTTGAGCCTGGAAGTTTGAGGTTGCTGTGAGATAGGCTGACACCACAGCACTTTAGCCTGGGCAACAGAGTGAGACTCTGTCTACAAAAAAAAAGAAAAAAAGTAGAAAGTATTGCAAAAGATGAAAAATGATCAAATATATCACTTATAATAACTGTAAATATGTTAATTAAAAGACAATGGTCTTCAAAATGGGTTGAAAAATCCAACCAAATTCTTTTTACAAGAGACCCAAAATAAAGTGACAGGTTAAAAGAAAAAGCATAGACAACACCATACCAATAACTAATAACAGAGTGAACTCAAAGCAAACAAATGAAAAAAGCAGCAAACAAAAAAAAAAACATTAAATGGTAACCCAAGAGGGTCATTTGATATAGATAAATTTTAAAACTCACCAAAAAAATAAAATAACTATCATAAATATAAGCTAAATAACATAGAAAAAGAATACATAAACCAAAAATGCTTGTTTAACAAAAAAATTGACAGAAAAATATAGTAATGAAAGATTAACATTCTACTCCTGAGCTGTAATAAATAGAGAAAAATATCAATAAAATGCAGATGCTCTGAAAAATCAGAATTTATACTTTACCCAAATTCTATGAATATTTACAAATTTTATGTAAAATATTAAGCCATAAAGAAAATCTTTAAAAATATAGCATAGCAAAAAGTGTATAGGCTCACATTCTCTTTCTGGAATGCAAAAAGATGACAAATTAGCATCAAAAGTCAAACTAAAAAAGAAAGAAAAAAATCACTTTGAAATTAAAAATGTTCTCTTAATAACTTTGGTTTGAAAGAAATAGGATCTTTCCCTCTATGAGTCTCAGTTTTTTCATACTTAAAAAAGATTTTTCAATTAAAAGATCTTATAAGGTCTTTCTACCCTTTCCCCTGACATATACACACAAACCACAATGATTTTTACATATTTACCAAGCGTATACCATATGCTCAGATTTCCAATTGATTATTCAGTGTGATACACAAAAATTGAAAAGGAGCATATAATCTAGTTGGGGAGTTAAGAAAATCAAATAGCAGTCACCAACATAATTATAAATGTGATATAAATTCAAAGGAGACCATGGTAAGGAGGGAAGGCTTATTTATGTGACTTGAGGTAGGTCTTGAAGACAGAAGACATTTGAACATCCAGAGAAGACATAGGGGAAATATTCTGGTCACGAATACTGTAGCAATGAAAGCTAAAGAACAAAATGTTAAATAACAAAGTTGAAATAAGTTACTATTTTGTACACAGCCTAAGAAGAAAAACACTGAAGTCCTAGACCAAATTGTTTATATTAATAATAAAAAATGAGCTGCAATAAGATTTTAAAGCACTATGGCTGTGGGCTGCCAACTAATTCTCATCACTTTGAACTTTAATTCAAATAGACTTCCACTTTTAGGCATATTTGATATCTCTAGAGAGAATAATGTTACTGATAAACGATGATCTTTATTTGCCATTTAGGAAACTGACCACAGCAGAGGTAAGATGCTTTAGCCAGGCATCCACAGCTACTTCACGTAATGACAGGAAAACAGTAATAGCTAAGAACATTATCACAGTCAGGCTCCTCTGATTCTATAAACCTGCATACTTATTTCATATTCCCATAACTTAAACCCCCAAAATTAAAATAATTAAATTAAAATAACACCATCTAATCAAGAATGAGATGTATTCCAGAAAGGAAGAAGGAAACACAGATTTAGAACTGGTATATAATGAACAAGGTAGAGAGGACTAAGGCTGCCAAGTAGGTGGGAGTGGGAGGAAATAAAGCATCTTGGTTTCTGAGCAAAATGCTGTTATTAAGTATAATTGCATCAACTTGACCCAAATTCAATATTTCTTATTCATTGAAAAGAAACATATTAAAATAGCAGCAATTTCCTTTATAAATAAACACATTCAGCCAAGGAAGCTTCTAGCAAAAAGGTTTAACCCTAAAAGTAATAAAATACAAGAGAAAATTATTTCAGTGCTTATAATTTTAAATAATAACTTCTAAATATAAATATATTATACCTAAGTTAGTAATAGTTCCTTTTAAAATTCTAATAAAAATTATAATGAAATTCTTCCACACACTGTCTAATCCTATCCTTTTATGTGAAAGTATATTAAAAATAAGAAAAACCTTCAGTTGAATAATTAGAACTTATTATGATATATTAATTATGGAAAATACTAATGGTAATATTTGAATTTAATTGTTTATAACTATGATCTTAAAAAAGCTATGAGAAATAAGAACCTTCACTCACAAGTACCTAAAATAAAATGTGGCAGGCTACTTTTTAACATAAGCATCATGAGGCATACTTATGTGGAAATTTGGGTTTTCACTCATAATAATTTCAGTTATTACTGGACCCTAAACTTGCAAGGTACATCTGGGCCAAAAACTAAAAATTACAATAAATATCTGCTGAGAAGCCATATATTTGCACTTCTCTGTCTATGGTGACTCTTGAAATGGATATACCCCTTGTACATAACACTAATATGTGTAAAAAAAGTATTTCAAGTAAATGTTCTCGATAAGGTCTCTCTGTCACTCTCCTGTGCTCAAAATATACACAAAACCCCAATTATTTTTAAGTATTTAAAGATATCGGCTGCTGAGGGACATGGAGATTATAAGCCAAGACAGGCGGCCATGTACCGACCAGTGTAGATTTTTCTTCTTGCACCTGAACTGTCACTTAGGGGGCCAAAGAGAACAGCTCTTAGATGGATATATGGACTGCTGCAAGAATTACTCTTCCAGAAGAGAAATACTTGACGTGGCCCTGCTGGCAAGATGTTTTTCCTGTTCTAAATCCCTCTAAGTAAATCTGATGCAAAATGTCTGTTGAGTTTAAATGTTTGGTTGAAATAAAAAGACCATCTGTTGGATGTTGCAAAAGCCAATCTCAACGTTTTAAATTATTTTTCAGTTACAAAATAACCATAATTTGTGTTAAGTGCACAGCAATTAAAATTATATGATGGCCTTTTTTCATAAAACATAAAGAAACAACTTCTTTTAAAAACATTCAGTGTTTTCAAAATACTGTTTCCATTTTTCTAATATTCAGTCTTTACATTACCCATTAATGCAAATACAAATGCCCTTTATTTAGCTTTAACAATACCACACACCCAATCCCTTAATGTGGGAGGACAACTCATCTTGATCAGATATTATAGATGTCATTAAAGAATTTTACATATGGTTTTTAAATTAGCAATAAATATTCTAAATAAGCAGAACTGAATAGATCTGGAGATCTATGGAGTTTTATAGCAAGCTGTGTTTCTATACATTTGCTGAGATTTTCAGTTCCTAAACATAATCTGAGAGGCTAAAAAATTTGTTAGGCTCTCGAGCCTTTTATACTGATGACTTAGAAAAATTATTCACTTAGACGTCTTCTCTCATTTTTGATACATTTTATAAATTTAATGTTAAGGTATGAATTTTTTCATTTTAAATACAAAGTAGCCCTATTTAAAATCTAAACTGCTTAGGCTGGGTGCAGTGGATCATGCCTGTAATCCAAGCACTCTGGGAGGCTGAGGCGGGAGGATCACTTGAGGTCAGGAGTTTGAGACCAGCCTGAGCAAGGGTGAGACCCTGTCCCACCTATTGTCCCAGCTATTTGGGAGACTGAGGCAGGAGGATCGTTTGAGCCCAGGAGTGTGAGGTTGCTGTGAGCTAGGCTGATGCCACGGCACTCTAGCCTGGGCAACAGAGTGAGACTCTGACTCAAATATAAATAAATAAATAAAAATAAAAATAAAATCTAAACTGCTTAAACACATGATCATTAGCAATTCTGCATTACTTGACACAATAAGGTGTGAAGCAAGGTCAGACCTTATTATGAACAAATGTAATATTCTCAAAGTCTATCAATAAATGATCTCTAAATGGAACTATCAAAAGCTAAAAGAAATCTTTTTATATTTTAAAGAAAATAATCTATCAAGTAAACCAGTTTCTTGATATCTTCAACAATTTTCATCTTTAATTTACTAAGGATATCTTGCTAGAAATACTAAATGAAAATGACTAATAGTGCCAATTAAGCCTTTTTATATCCTTCCTAATGAAAATTATATTTTAAATTTATTTCTATTATTGACATTCACACTACAATGTCTACTTGTCATTTTTTAATAAAATCACTTGCCATTATTTCATAAAATTTCTAGAGAATTCCTTGACTAAGATCCTCTAATAAAACTGTGTTAAATTAAATCACTTACTGAAAACAGCCCACTCTTACTGCTACAGGAGTGTGGGGAAGTTGAGTGGCCCACTTCAGTGTCACATCCTGATAAATATGCAACATATTATTATGGTTTCCAATCAAAGTATTTGTTGTTCCTTCAGAAACTGTAGGTTGAAGATACAGGAAGAGGATACTAAGAAAACAGTCATTTGCATAAGTGTATTATATCCCTTTTAGGGGATTTATGACACAAACTAATTCTAATATCTTGATTTTAATGTATAAAATTCTCAAGTAATATAATGTTACTTTCCAACATCAAGCTACCAATATTAAAAAGAAAAGAATCGTTTTACAGACTTGGAAACTATAACTAGATAATGGACAACATTTTTGAATTTCATCTAGAAAGCATGAATTTCATTAATATGTAACATATTTAAGCTAATGATTTACTGGGCATTCACTACAGATAAGTCATTGTATTAGACATTACTATTCTGCCTATAAAAGAGTCTGATATTCTCTTGGAGGAATCTTGAACAGCCACATTATGGAAAACATATTAATGTATACTGGAGGCCAATTTTACAAGTCATTTTGTACAAAATAAAATGACTGACAAAACCAAATCTGTGCTTAATAACAAACATCTATTCAAACTCTGAAAGTTAAAATTTCCATTACATGTTCAATATAAAACAATTTTTCTATATGTTTAAAATACATGTACGAGTGTAGCTTTTTCTGAAGTATATAACATAGGCTTGACACATAAAGGAGATAAAAGAAAATCTTTCTACACACCTGAGCAATATGGAAGAAAACAACTTGGGCTACAATCAAGCTTCTTCATGAATCGAATTTGTCCATTATCCTTAAGGCAAAAAAAATTTCTCTCTCCAAGAACAAAAACCGAAGATGCTGACTGATTGAAAGAGACGATACATATATCAAGGGCTTGTTCTCCAATATTTAGAGTCCAATCCACCTGCAAAGCAAAACTCAAGATCAAGTTGGTTGCTAAACCTAGAACATTTCAGTTATTTTCATATCAATACAAACTAATAAATTGCTTTACAACAAACCATTAAAATAAAGATTGACTAGTCTTCTCCCTCATTTCCTTTTTTTTTTATTTTGCTCTGACTGTATTACTAGTATTTTATAGACCCTGGCAAAGCTTTGCTCCATGTCCTTTTTTTCATTGTTTCTTTTTAGAACATTAAAATGACTCTCAATGTTCTAAGTCTTACCAGAAGATACTAGGTACTCAGTGATTCAAAAATATTGAAAAAGTGATCTGCTTCCCTAAAAAACTTCCATTAAAAAGCTATTGATTTTACTTTGCAAGTCAAACTTAACAATTAGTAAAAACTATAGCCATTATTATGGCACATATGTTTTTATAGAAAGGCAACTTAAAATACATCAATATGCAATTAAATAGTGAGACTGTGTGAACATTTTAGTAGTATTTTGTCATTTTTCCTATTTTTATAACTGAAAAAGGATAATGTTACACTTGCTCATTTTTAAAAGGAATGTATGTGGAGGTAATGAGATATAATGAAAATAAGAAATAAAAGTTTAAAAAAATCAAAATGCACATACAGAGCAGCCACCAAGCCACTGTAGTAATATAGACAGAACATCCTACACATAAGAGCTACTCCAGGGTATCTCTGTATCTTTGAAACATGGTCAATATTCAATAAAAGGCTTCTTAAGATAATAAAGGAATGAATGTAAAATGAGCATGTAAAAAAAGAACTTTTCAGAATTCATCTTCTAAGCAATTAATATTTCTAAATCAAGAAAATGCAAAAGAGCAAAAATATACCATTTTGAAAAATATTGGCTGATAGGCATATACAGTACATGGCAATAACAGTGAGATGGCTTCACTCACAAAAAAGGAACTGGACAAAGAGGAAACAAGAAAGCTCTCAAAGTTAGATGATAATCAACAAATAAGAGATCCAAGAAGAGATATGAAAAGTCACATTAAGAATATAGCTGGATTTCTGGCCATGAAGACATGATCTTAAATATTAATCTATCTATTTTAGAAATTTAAAATATTTAAAGAAGGTATGAAATCCAAATGGGGCTGGTCAGAAAGGCAAGTACTGCCAGTGTGTATATAAGAACAATCTGTAGGAGGGAGACAGCATAGTGAACATAGGTAGATGCATCAGACTATCTTAAGCTGAACTACAATTCAACACTAAGAAATCATTCGATTACTATTTGGTTCAAGTATAGTTTACCTATACAAAAAGATTCCACTGGACATAAGACATGAATGTCAGTCCCATGGCAGTTATATTTCTCATTGCACTGTAATAGGCTAGCATTCAAGCATTATATGTCAATGTCTGTGACTCAGGCTAATGTGTACCTGACTCTGAGAGATGATTTACACACAATGAACCCGCAAATCATGTTTCTGAGGCCCCTGAAGGACAGAGACCACCACTATCATTGCCGAGAGAGGGAGGTATGAATGGCTTGTGTATCCCACAGCTGCCACCCTCTGCTAATCTTGTCAAGAGGGGCCCACCCCTCCTGGTCCAGGCTCACAGTGCATGTACCCTTCTCCTGACTGAACATTTTTCTGGAGCAGGAAAGTACCCCACCCTGCTCTATCACAGCCAGCACTTGAACCCAGGGAGACTTAAGAGCAAGTTTGCCAGCTTGTTCTCAGTCTGGTCTACCCAGGACTCAAGCACGCCATCCAGGGGTCTGGTAATTGGGGATTACCTAACTTAGTCCACCACCGTTGGCACCTAAACACTCTCCCACGGGTCTGAAGTCCAAGCAACTCAAATGGCCAACAACATCACCATGGGTATCTACCTGCATGAGCTGAAAAGCAGCATACCTCTACCTCCCTACACTGAGAGAAATGGAGTTCTTGGCAAAGGAGAACAGGTGAACCACAAAGCTATCTGTTTTGAGCTAAGGGAATGGATTCCAGATGAGAAGGAATCAGCATAAGAACTCTGGAAATATGAAAAAGCAAGCTGTTTCAACACCCCCAAAGGATCGCACTAGCTCCCTACCAATGGGCTCCAACCAAAAAGAAACTTTTGAAATGTCAGGTATGGAATTCAAAATATGGATCACAAGTAAGCTCACTGGGATTGATGAAAAAGTTGAAAACCAACACAAAGAAATTTTAAAAATTCAGAACATGAATGAAAAATTCACCAGAGAGATAAACAGTTTGGAAAAAACAGATCTTCTGCGATGAAGGAATCATTTGGGGAAGGACAAAATACAGCGGAAAGTTTTAACAACAGACTACACCAAGTAGAAGAAAGAATTTCAGAGCTTCAAGACAAGGCTTTAAATTAACCCAGATAGTCAAAAATGAAGAACAAAAAATGAAGAAATGAACAAAGTCCTCAAGAATTATGGGACTATGTAGGCCAAGCATGGTGGCTCACTCCTGTAATCCTAGCACTCTGGGAAGCTGAGACAGGAGGATTGCTTGAGGTCAGGTGCTCGAGACCAATCTGAGCAAGAGCAAGACCCTGTCTCTACTAAAAAATAGGAAAAAAATTAGCCAGTCAACTGAAAATAGAAAAAAATCAGCTGGGTGTTGTGGCACGTGCCTGTAGTCCCAGCTACTTGAGAGGCTGAAGCAGAAGGATCGCTTGAGCCCAGGAATTTGAGGTTGCTGTGAGCTAGGCTGATGCCATGGCACACTAGCTTGGGCAACAGAGCAAGACTCTGTCTCAAAAAAAGAATTCTGGGACTATGTATTATAGGTATCCCTGAGAAAGAAAAAGAAAAGGCAAAAAGCATGGAAAACCTACTAGAGGTAATAATAAACAAAAATTTCCCTGGTCTTGCTAGAAATTTAGTCATTCAGATACAAGAAGGTCATCAAACTCCTAAAACATTCATTGCAAACAGGACACCTCCAAGGCACATAGTCATCAGACAGGTCAAAGTCAAAGTAAAGGAGAAAATCCTACAAGCTGCAAGATGAAAGTATCAAGTAACTTACAAAGGAAAATCCATCAGACTAATGGCAAACTTCTCAAGGGAAACCTTACAAGCCAGAAGGGAATGGGCTCCTATCTTTAATCTCCTTGAACAGGATAACTATCAGCCAAGAATTTTATATCCTGCAAAATTAAGTTTCATAAATGAAGAAAAAATAAAGTCTTTCCCAGACAAGCAAACACTAAGAGTTTAATTTGTCAACACTAGACAAGCCCTACAAGAAATCCTTAAAAGTGCTCTAAACTAAACATTGAACGTAAAAATTGATACCCACCAGTGTAAAAACAACCAAAAGTAAAAACTTATAGCTCTTATAAAACAGTAACACAAGGGAGGAAACAAAGCAACTAGGTAGCAATCAACATGATGACTGGTAGTATCTCACATGTCAATATTAACATTGACTGTCGGTCTAAATGCCCCACTAAAAATACACAGATTGGCAGAATGGATTTAAAAAAACACAACCTAAATATATGCTGCCTCAAGACACCCATTTAACTCCGAATGATAACTATAGACTCAAGGTAAAGGGGTAGAAAAAAATATTTAACACAAATGGAAACCAAAAGTAAGCAAGAGTAACTATTCTTATATCAGATAAAATAGACTTTAAATCAACAACAGTATAAAAAGACAAAGATGGTCATTATATAATGATAAACAGATCCATTCAACAAGAAGATATAAAAACCCTAAATATATAAGCACCTAACACAGGAGCTCCCAGATTCATAAAACAAATACTACTAGACTTAAGGAAAGCAATAAAAAACAACATCATAATAGCTACTTCCACTGACAGAACTAGACAGATCATCAAGGCAGAAAATCAACAAAGAAATGCTGGACTTAAATGGGACTCTAGAACAAATGGATTTAACAGACATTTACGGAACATTCTCCCCCCAAACTACGAAATATACATTCTTCTCGTCAACACATGGAACATTTTCTAAGACAGACCATATCTGAGGCCACAAAACAAGTCTCAGCAAATTTTAGAAAACTGAAATCATACCATGTACTTTCTCAAAATAGAGTAGAATAAAACTAGAAATCGATTCCAAGAAAAACTTTCAAAACTACTCAAATACATGGAAATTAAACAACCTTCTGCTGAACAATCCTTGGGTCAATGACAAAATCAAGATGGAAATCAAAACATTTTTCAAATTGAATGATAAAAGTGATACAAGCTACCAAAATTTCTGGGATACAGTAAAAGCAGTGCTAAAAGAGAAGCTCATAGCACTAAATTGCCTACATCAAAAAGGCAGAAAGATCACAAATTAAAAACCTAACGTCACATTTCAAAAAACTAAAAAAAGAAGAATAAACCAAACCCAAACCAAGCAGAAGAAAAGAAAAAACAAAGATCATAGCACAACAAAACAAAATGGAAACAACAAAAAAAATCAATGAAACTAAAAGTTGGTTATTTGAAAAGATAAACAAAATTGATAGACCACTAGCCACATCTCAAGGAACTAGAAGAAGAAGGACAAACTAAATCCAAAGGTAGCAGAAGAAAAGAAATAACAAGGCTTATAGCACAACAAAACAAAATGGAAACAACAAAAAAAATCAATGAAACTAAAAGTTGGTTATTTGAAAAGATAAACAAAATTGATAGACCACTAGCTAGATTAAAAAGAAACAGAAGAAAAAGGATTCAAATAAGCTCAACCAGAAATGATAAAGGAGACATTACAACTGATATGCACAGAACTACAAAGTATCATGCAAGACTACTATGAAAATCTCTACACACAAAAACTAGAAAATCTAGAGGAAATGGATAAGTTTTTGGAAACACATAACCTCCCAAGCTTGAATCAGGAACAAAGAGAAATACTGAATAGGCCAATAGTGAGTAGCAAGACTGAATAGTAATCAAAAAGTATTGATAAAATCCTTCAACATACTAGGCACAGAAGGAACATACCTCAAAATTATAGAAGTCATCTATGATAAACCCGCAGCCAACATCATATTGAATAGGGTAAAGTTGAAAGCATTCTCCCTGAAAACTGGAACAGGACAAAGATGCCCACTATCACACTTCTATTCAACATAATACTGTCCTAGACAGAGTAATCAGGCCAGAGAAAGAAATAAACAACATCCAAATAGTAAAAGAGGAGGTCAAACTATCCCTGTTTGCTGATGACATGATCTTATACCTAGAAAGCCCTAAAGACTCCTCCAAAAGACAATAACAATGGACAAAAACAATAGATGTTGGGGCAGATGTGGTGAAAAGGGAACGCTTATACATTGTTGAGGGGGGAGGTAAATTAGTACAACATTTATGGAAAACAGTATGGAGATTCCTCAAATAACTAGAAGTAGACCTACCATTCAATTCTGCAATACCAGTACCCAAAAGAAAAGAAGTCATTATATTAAAAAGACACCTGCACCCAAATGTTTATTGCAACACAATTCACAATTGCAAAGATATGGAATCAACCTAAGTGTCCATCAACTAATGAGGGATAAGGAAAATGTGGTGTATATGTATATACGTGTGTGTACACACATACATACATACATACATACACACACACACACACACACACACATACACATACACATGGAGTACTACTCACCCATAAAAAGGAATGAAATAACATCTTTTGCAGCAATGTGGATGGACCTTTATCCTAAGTGAAGTATCTCAGGAATGGAAAAACGAATACCACATGTTCTCACTTATAAGTGGAATCTAAATGATGGGTATATATGGTCATAAAGTGGTGTAATGGACATTGGAAACTAAGAAGGAGGGAAGGTGGTTAGGGAGTAAGGGATAAAAAATTATCTATTGGGTACAATGTATACTATTCTGGTGATGGGTACACTAAAAGCCCTGACTTCACCACTATACAATTCATCCATGTAACAAAAAACATGTGTACCCCCTAAATCTGTTGGAATAATAATAATAAAAGAAATCAGCCAATAATAAAAAGACAGCTCTGAGTAACATAGGAAGCTATTAACTGTGTTCCCACAACTACCTTATTGAAAGCATTCTACTGAATAAGTTCTGTTTCTTCTGTAATAGATTTAATAATGTTCTTTGGTATCACATTCCTGCCAAGTGACTGTCATGTAATAAAAGGAAGTTTTACTGCTATTTCTTCTCTAGTCGTTAATTAATAGAGAATGAAAAAAATCATTCAACTGTAATTGTTGTCAGAATACATCCTCAGTGTCAGGCATGGAGTAGTATCAATAAATAACTGCCAATGAATAAGGAAAGGATATTCTAGACAGTATAAAAACCATATGCAGAAGCCGATGAAGGAGAGCCATTGAATATTTGGAACAATGAGAAGCCCCATGTAGCTGGAGTATAAATGGAAGAAGACTACTATTGAGGAGGAGGTCAAAAGACAATTTGGTCACCACTATCGCTGTCACTTTCATCACCCAGACATTTTGCTAAGTGCTTCATACATATATATATAAAATCTAATTATAACACATTATCTATTATAAAATGGATATTATCACCATTTTGCAAATGAGGAAACTAAGATTTAGTAAATCTTAACAAACTTGTTCAAACTTGCTCAAAAAGGAAGTATAGCTCTCAAGATCTACCTGATTTCAAAGTCTACACTTTAACTATTATTACTATGGTGCTTCTAAATTCTGTACAAAATGATCTCATATTTGTATTTGTTGTGCTCTTTCACATTTTACCACCACAGAAAAAATAGATCTTCATCTCATTCTTGACTCCATGTTATCCTTTTTTTCTGCCATTTCTCTTAACTTCTGTATCCTAATACAGAAAATTCTGCATGGTCTTCTCTGGTACTCTTATTTCGTCGGTATTCTAAATTCCACATATTTCTCCATTCAATTTCTTTCATGTGTATCCTCAAGTTCACTTCACTGTCTCCATCATAATTTTCAATTCCTTCTACTTTTTTCCTTGCTGTCTATGGATGGTCTCAGGATAAGGAAGAGCTCCCAATCATCATCAATTCTCCAATTCCCGTGAAATGGAGAACTCATCATTTACAATTTTTCTTCAAACTACTGCTCAAATTATCAAACTTCCACCTTTGCCTTTGAGTTAGTTCTACCTTTGTGAGTTGTAAATTTTTAACTTTTATTTATATATTTGATCACATGCCTATTAAGTAGCAAAATATTTGAGGAACTAGTAGCCAAAAATTTTCTAAGTGTTATGAAAACTTGATATTCACAGATCCAAGAAGTTCAACAAATCTTAAGCTCAAAAACAAGAGAAAGAAAAGCATACATCATGATCTAATTGCTCAAAATAAGTAACAAGAGAAAATCTGAAAAGCAGCCAGAGAAAAAAGACAATACAGAGGAATATAATGTACAAAATTTTGTATATTAAAGGAGTATTTTTTAATTTTTTCTTTTTTTATTTTATTAGTTTACAATCACTTCAGTTATGCTGAAATTTAAAAAAATAATAAGATTTGGGGCACAAGAAAAAAGACAGTTAAATCATTATAAAAGTAATTGCCAAGTCGCTTTTCTCTGAAAATGTAAGTCTTCAATGTTATAGAGTTATTCACTGATAACTGAATCTGGTTGAAAAATCATGTAATTATTCTAATGAAGGTTTTATGTGAGTTTAATTTAATGACATCATTAAAATATACAGAATGGGTAGCTTTCCTTACTGTCAATTATTTTTTATTTAATTCAAATAAAAGCGACTTTGATTTCAAAAAGAAAAAAAAAAGTGACCCCATCTGGACATCTATAGTTCTAGTGGTATAACTCTACAATCTGATATATTATGACCTTGACCAGGCATATGTCTCCCTTCCTCAACAATAGCCAACTAAATTCTTAGATCATTCATATAATAATAACATAGAAAATAGAAGTGACTAAAATACATATATTTTTTTAATTTTCTTCCCAGGAAATCTGATTGTTAACAAACATCTGCGATTAGATATAGCATTACTGAAATTTTTATATATTTTAAAAGGCCTTACAACTAGTCTTTTTCCAGAACCAAGTTTTTGCTGTTCAGTCTCCTGCCTTTTATCTGCATCCGTTGCAAAAGCAAGTACTTGGTACCTGTATTAAAGATATGAGAAAATTGTAAGTGACTTTATAATTTAAAAGTGTAAATTATTTTAAACTTTAAAAGCAAATAATCTATAATTATAGATCACTTTTTCATTGGTTTTTAAAAACTGTAAAATTCAAGATTGAATTCTCCACTGAATGATACTGTGAAATGAGACCATGTAAAACTGTCATGATAAAGAAATTATGACTATATGTCCCAATTATTCAATATTGGGAAAACAGCTCAACCAAAGCATTTCCATTGGAATTTTATGTGACAAATAACAGTGAACAAGAAATATGTAGTACCTAACCACCAGACAGAAAAACATAATGCAAAGCAGTCATATGTAGTAAAAATTATTAATACATAATCTACAGAACCAAGAAAAACTGAATTTAATCCCCAGCTAACCCACTTACTAGCTGAGTGGATTATGGCAATTAACTCTGTGTCTAGCTTCCCCATCTGTAAAATGGAAATGATAATCTCTAAATCAAATATTGTTAACAGGATTAAATAATAAATTATAGAAATGCTTAGTACAGTATCTGGTATATATTAGGTGCACAAATATTTACTGATAGATTGACAAAGAGACAGATACAGATTTACATGTAAATAGAGATCAATCATCTAATAGTTTATCTGGTATGTAATAAGTTCTTAATAATGGACATTATGGACACTGAGACCTTCTATAAGTATTTCACAGCTTCTATTTCAATAGTGACATTTAGTTCAAATCATTCTTAAAAATAATTTATAAGGCCGGGCGCGGTGGCTCACGCCTGTAATCCTAGCACTTCTGGGAGGCCGAGGCAGGCAGATTGTTTGAGCTCAGGAGTTCGAAACCAGCCTGAGCAAGTGTGAGACCCCGTCTCTGCTAAAAATAGAAAGAAATTAATCGGACTACTAAAAATATATAGAAAAAATTAGCCGGGCATGGTGGCGCATGCCTGTAGTCCCAGCTACTCAGGAGGCTGAGGCAGAAGGATCGCTTGAGCCCAGGAGTTTGAGGTTGCTGTGAGCTAGGCTGACGCCATGGCACTCTAGCCCGGGCAAAAGAGTGAGACTCTGTCTCCAAAAAAAATAATAATAATAATTTATAAATATTATCTAATCTAGAAATGATTGATTTAGCTAATAACATTGAAATTTCTACATTTCCCATTAATTAATGGTATAATTTTAGAATAATCCTACTCTAAATGAAGAAACTACAGCCTCACAGATTCCTTTTCCTCCTATCGAATCAAAATTCCTTTCATTGTTCCTTCATAGCTAGGAGGAAAATTTTAAAATAGATGTATTCAGATACATCATATTACCAAAGAGAAAGATGTCTGAGAGTATAAATATTAGTGACATGAATGAATGAAGGCAATGTGGAATATCTAAATAAGCATTAAAATGTACAGTGATATTCGAATGTCATATACCAACTCTGAAACCATCCTGTCTCAATCAGGAATAAATCATTTGTAAAATCCTCCAACTTCAGCTGGATACTGGATAACTATGAATTAAGACTCTTTTCACAAGGCATAGAAGCTGATAACAAACTTACAATAGCCTATAAAAAATCAGACTTAATATGAAAACTTAATGTATATGAATTTCATTCATTCCATAACCATATAGTAGGGATCTAATACAAACATTAACAATGGAAAAAACTACTAAATGATGTGTACTTATCAGGAGCTCCCAAACTAGTTGTGGAAATTACTACACAGACAACTAAGTGTAACTCAGAGCACCCTGTGCTAATTAATAGAAGGTATACACACAGTACCGATGGAACACGGTGACAGAAACACGTGATTGAGATGGAAAAGATAGGATCTTGGTACAAGTTAGGAGGAGAAAGCTAAGTTTTAAAGAATGAATGGAAATTCGTCATGCTGGTAAAAAGGGAGAAAGCATGGCAAAGCAAATAGCAAGCAAAGGCATGCAGCAGTGAAAGACATGAAAGGCCATGACAGGAATTCAGGAAAGACGCACGATAGGGAAGAATGAGTCACAGGACTCATGAGGTAGGAGGGGGAAGATCTCAGCCTTATAAATCCTTCCTAAAAAATTCCATAGGCAGCTGCAGCAAATCTCTCTATATCATCTGACACTGATCTTCAAAATCCCAAAGGCTCCAAAAGTACCAAATAATTGACCCTCACATTCTGACCTCCAAAAAGGAGTATTTTCCTATTCTCAGTTCATAATAACAGAAATAATATGCCTGGATGACTAGAACATCATCCTAGAGCTGGTCCTGCTATGAATCTAACCTCAGGCAATTAATTACATAGGTGGTTCATTTTCTGCAGACACCAACCTACCAGAGGATTACATGGATATTAATGAGATTGTTGCAAACATCCAAAGCTCTTTGGAGCTATGTGAAGCTTCTTATGTGACTACAAAGAGTTATTATTTCATCTGAGGAATAAGTTAGCGTCTAAAGTGGCCTCATTAAAACAGTAGGCAAAGACACACAGCCAAAATTGACTACTGATTTCCAAATCCGGCCCATTTCTCTTCCTGGGAGACAAGTCAGAAGAGTATTTTATTACTTTAACATTACTGACAGCAAAGTTAGATGATTAGAAACTTACAATAGCATCTATTTTATGGTTCTTCCTTAACTTCTCTTAACTGTGACCCATAAAGTACATAAAAATCTATTTCCAAAACCAAACAATTCCAAACGGACTTGGAAATTCTGAAATAAAGAAAACACCTGGATCTTTTTTCTTATCACTCAAGTGTTCAGTGATACAAGCTAAAAAATAAAATTCCCTTGTTGAGATTTCTGAAAGAATCTAATCAGGCTCATTGTAACAACATTTTATGAAAAAGTGCCATACATGTTTCTCAGAACAGACAGGCACTAATCACAAATACAACAAGCCCACAGAAACGGTGGTACTTTTTGATCCACTAGTCACAAATGGTTAACAGGTCCTGTAGTACACCAGTAACAAACTCAACCATATAATTTAATGCTCTTCCATATCACATCATAAAAATAACAGCAAGTAACTAAAATATAGATGAGGTGTCACAGAGCACAAAAGTAAACCCTCTGAAATCATTTCTTTTCAAATGAAACATAACTGTCACCCGAAAGGGTACCAGGAGGTTTTAGAACCTTGATATGTAACCCAGAGAACTTTACTAGAAATGGAAGCTCTGGATACAGAGCATTATTATGTTCATTCCAAGTCTAGCTAACACATTCTCAACTATGCCAGGAAGAATCATTTTCATTGAAAGATGCCGGTAACAAAGCAGAAGATTTCCTGACACACTTTTCACTCCTTCTTCAAGTTCTTGTTAAAAACCTACTCTCAGCCGGGCTCGGTGGCTCACGCCTGTAATCCTAGCACTCTGGGAGGCCGAGGCGGGTGGATCACTCTCAAGGTCAGGAGTTCGAAACCAGCCTGAGCAAGAGCAAGACCCTGTCTCTACTAAAAAATAGAAAGAAATGATCTGGACAACTAAAAAAATATATATATAGAAAAAATTAGCCGGGCATGGTGGCGCATGCCTGTAGTCCCAGCTACTCGGGAGGCTGAGGCAGTAGGATCGCTTGAGCCCAGGAGTTTGAGGTTGCTGTGAGCTAGGCTGATGCCAAGGCACTCACTCTAATCCGGGCAAAAGAGTGAGACTCTGTCTCAAAAAAAAAAAAGCAGCAAGGAAGGTACTTCGGGGGATACAAAATTCCTGCCATCAAAAAGCACTGAGCCCAGTCAAGGAGAAAAACAAAAGGCAAATGTATAACAGTGAAAGCAGGAATAGTACTTAAGGGAAGCACTGAAAAACTCCGCAAATTAAGGAGGAAGAGATGTTGCTTACATCTAGGTCAGGGAAGAACTGAAGGGGAGCAGGGAGGCTTCCAGACATAATTTTCATGTCCAGAGAAGGAAGGAAGAGCATTTCAGACATAGGAGACAGCACGTGCACAAAAAGAAAGAGAGAAAAGCCTTTAATGTATATGTAGAACACAAACATTTCAATTTGGCCAGAGCTAAAAACTGGTGAAGAATACAACCTTCTTTTTAAAATAGTCAATTAAACTCAACAAATACATTTTAAAATACTTACGTAAAGCCTATTATTTACTTAGCATGGTATTAGAAGCTACTGCAGGTGTGCTGGGGAAGGTGTAGAGAAGACAGGAGAGAAAATAAAACTCACGGCAGGTAAACTCCTTCAGGCAGCCTCCCAACATTCAACTATTATCTAGAGGTCCCACCTCTAGACCTCCTCAGCATTCTGTACAAACCTCTTTTGTAGCTGTAGCCTGCAACACAAGGACTGAAGTAGCTAAGAGACTTGCTGCCTCTCACATTGTTTGACTACTGCTTGGTGACAAGAGACAGGTCTTATCTGACTACATTCAGAGAAGTCTCTTGAAAAATGTTTGGGAAGGAATCACTTAATAAATGAAATGAATTGCTCAGTCAGTGAACAGATGTTTAAGACAGATTCTGCTACCAGAAACTTGATAATGCAAGACATACTCTGGAATATTCCAGTATAATATAAGAAAGCAATATATAATATTGAGCAAAAAAATCAGTGTTTTAGGCAATAATACATCTAGGAGGTGAAAAAAAAGAGGATAGTTGTACCAGTTAACTTTAAAAATGCCTTCCAAATCTGAAAGTCCACATCATAGAGGTAAAATGGGACTGGATTATAAAGTGCACTGAATGTCAATATAAGAAAGTCTAAATTTTTTTTTTTGAAAGTCTAAATTTTTACATGGGAAATGAAAATTATCCTGGTTTAAAGAGGTGTTTTAAAAGGACAGATCTGAGAAGGACTCTTCAAAGTCTAGATCAGAGGTAAAACAAACAAAAACCAAGAAATCAAGTGAAAAGATAAAGGCCTAACCAATGGAAATGGGAAACAAGGGCTGAATAAGAAGAATTAAGGGTAGAAAGGGCAGGGTTTAGTGACTAAGGAATTCAACAGGCAAAGGAAAGGAAAAGAGAATAAAAGAAGATCCAAAGTTTGGACACACATGTCCCAGTGAACAGTGGTACCAAAGGCCTTCTCTCCTCTCCCCAAAACAGGGCAAACAATTCTCTCACTTCAAAAGAAAAACAATGCTCAAAGTGTGTCCCTAAATTACAATCACCTGGAGTATGCATTTACAATGATGATTTCTGGATCTTATCCCCAAACCTATTAAATCAAAATCTAGGGGACCGGGGACTAGGATCTGTAAATGTGCATTTTATAATAGACTGCCCAAGTGATTCCTACACACACTGAAATTTGAGACCCATAGCCTTCACTAGTTCCTATTTGAACATAATTGAGCAGGTTTTAAAGTAAGTATCAATTTAAAAAATGAAAATAAATTATGTCTTAAAAGCCTATTCTATTAACTGACTATATTCTATTAACTGAATATAGACAGATTTAATGAAGCCTCGAAGGAACAAACCTATAGTTTTTATTCTTTCTCTCAACCTAAATTACACCAGTGATTATCATTTAATATAATCTGTTAAACTTGAAAGCATATCTAAGTACAACATACTACTTAATGTTATAAACCCTCATGATTGTCATCATTTCACAATAATCACATCGCATGCATTTTTATCATTATAAAAAAACCACATAATGGATAAAGTATGCATTTTTTAGTCCCAGATAAAGATGAATTTAATAGATTGATATGTTGGAGAATTACCACAGTTAAAACAATGTGAGCTTCTGTGAGATTAAACACACACATTAAGTAAACCTACACATTGCTTCCTCATCTAATCACTCCTGGAGTTATTAGCAAATTCCTATGTACATATTTCAAAGAGTAAGTAATTGAGCATTCAAATCTTTGTGTTGCAACCCTAGTGCAGCACTACTTGGCAGGAGGTGAGGCACAGAACTGGGTGGAAAGCTGAAAAGCAGATCCCCTCAATATTGCTTAAGTTTTGGCAGGCCTGAGTAAATTATACAGATATTTTTCTCAACCTCTCAAAATGAACATAATATTTTATTTATTACCAGTAGCAGTGCTACAATTCATTCATCTCCTTTGGACAACAGCCATAGGAGTTATAGAAGGAATGTGACATGATGATACATTACCTCCATCAGTTAACTTCTGCTTAGTCACAAACATTCACTTATTTTCAGAGTTTTAAACCCAGATGACTTGACAATCATTCACAAAAGGTAGATGGCCACGTATGAAGGGAAAACTACATTAACTTGCTACATACACAATATTGAAACTTGAAGATAAAAATTTATAACTGTTGCCTGATGAATTTATATTTTCTTTCTACCTTGGGAAAAATCATGTGGCCAAAATAATGCTGAAAAGCTATGATGATGTGTTGCTTAGAAGTTTTAAGTTCTAAATGTTGCCATCAGTAAGAAAACACAATAAAATTACTGAAGATATTGAAACCCTCAAAGTCTATTTCTTCTCTCAGCATGAATTTCTGCTTTCTTTTCCCCACTCTCTCTGCCAACAAAAAATATACTCTCCAAAAACTCAAAGCCTTGACTTGTATTGAAATCTAGCCGGTAGAAAAGAAAAGAGTCTCTCTGATACACAATTCACCCAAGATCAATAAGAATTTCTAGCAAAAAATATAAATTGTTATCACTTCTTGGACTTTTGGCTAAGATCAACTGTAAAAAATGTAAATTGTTTTCATAGGGTCATTTTCATACTTAACTTCTATTATGAACTGTTCTTTTAAAAAATTATTAACATTCATAACAATACTTATAGTTCATACCAGTATTTTTCCTATGTCACATACATCCTCTTTTGTTATAAAATCATATGACAGATGCATGTTCAATTTGGCTTTTTTCTACAACATTGTGTTTTATTATTTATTATATCAAGGAACAGTCACAATGATTATTGAGCATTTTCTATGGGACACCAACTTGACATACATTTAATTCATATAATAAACTCGTCAAAATGAGTGGTATTACCTCCTTTAAAGCAAGGATAAGAACACTGACAATCAAACAACTGTGAGTAGCAAAATCAGAATTCCAACCCAGGTCTTCCTTTTCCTCACAAATCACTGCACTATCCTGCCTTTCAAATATTCTATAATAGTAAAGCAGATACTCTAAGTCACCCCAATTACATGTTATCAAAGAAAACAGTCTCTTTTTCATTTGTAATATTCAAGCTCTCTGTGGAAAAGAATTAGTCAGTAACAAACACACCAAAAAATCATGAATCCAAAGATTTAACATCCAAACTTACTTGTAACTTTCCACTTGTCGGCAGGAAGAGACAGTAATGAAAGAATCTGTACGGGAACTATAAGCAAGAGGGCCAGGCAGAAGAGAACCAGGCAGAAATCTCCCAAAAGCATAGCTTTCCTGCTCAAACACCATCAGCATCCCATCCATAGACTGGATACAAATTAAATCTCGACCTAAAGAAGAATTAGAGGAAATTAGATGACCTACTATTTTTATAAATATAATGTCTGCATCATTATCCACCACAAATATGTCATAGTTAATTTCTTCCCCAAGGGACAAAATGGGTAGTTTAAATTTTAAATTACAAACCAATAAAGCTATTAGATTATTGATGTCAGTGTACATGCATTTCCCAATTTTTAAGTTATGCAGAAGATGTCTGTAATTTTAAGCACGTTTATTTTCATTTACTGTATGCAAAAATCTCCTAGCTCAAGATAATCCCTGAGAACAATGATGACTTATTGTTAAGATATCATCTTTTCCAAATTCAGAAATATAACAAAAACTGTTCTTCAATGAAACTACTTCTCTTCTTCATAGTATGTCAGTCTCATAATTTCAAAGGACTTAAACATCAGTCAAATACAACTGACCAAATCCATAGACGTGTGGTAGGCACCAGTTCTATATAAACCAGTGTTAAGTACCATTGAGGGTGAAAAATACTGATACTGAAAAATACTAATCCATGATTGCCCTATAGACTGATTTTGATTTGTCTTCTACCATCTATCAGTATTAAATACAATATTGACAGTTCTTAAAATACACTGAGATGACAATGATGATTTATATGATATTAATATAGTATCTATCCCTAATCTAAGAAAGATCTAGTAGCTCTAACTTTTCATGTTCTGCTACTGTGATTAGTGTATCCTATAATGTATCATATATGGAAAAACTATGTCAGAAAAAAATTAAGCTACTCATTAAGGGAATAAATAAAAAGTCAATCCTCAAATTTGTCATCTCTAACCCATACATACCATATACAGTAAGTCCTGTAGTAACTATTCTATGTTACCTTGGATATCAATGACAATCTTATACAGTATACTTACATTTTAAAGAGTGACTTTGCTCAAAGGGAAATCAAATTACATAGAAATAGATGATATCCTTACTGTTTTATTTGACTAAGGACAATTATACAGCTGGGTAATTTTATTAAAAAAAATTGCTAAATTAGCTTTTTAAAAGAAAAAAACAGATTTTGGGTTGCTTATAACTGTAATATCTAACCCATCTTGACTGATACAATAGGATTATCAACCTTAAATAGCCTGAGAAATGCTCTGGGATGAATATTTGTCTCAGCAAATCAATGTTCACTAAACACACATCTGAACCATTCAGGGGTCTCTTTAGAGCCATAAAATTGTTCATACAAATGCTGTTTGAAAAGTATCCTCTCAATACTCAGATTCTTTTATAATGCGTGGTAGGTTTCACAATCACTATTTTAAGTTTTGTTTTTTAATCTAATTCTTATCCTGTCTATGACCATATCACCCTGAATACACCTTGTCCAGTCTTTATCCACAATTCTATTAAAGGTTTCAAAAAAAGGTGTGATTTCATATGCATGCTATATGTATATGTATGCTGTACACATGTATTTACAGAGACACATTCAGGCAAAGTGTATCTCATTGAGCTATTTGGCAATCCCACCTGTCTACGCCTAGAAAAGACGAATAAGTATGAAAATGCCTCTAAGTAGTTGAAATAGATGCTGCAAGGTCTTTGTAATGAAAACCAAGTGAACTTTTTACAGGTGGGATTCCCAGGTCTCACTCAGGGCATCAATTCTTATTTTAATTATAATTCTAACAATTGTAGTTTTTATAAACAAGTTACTGATATTCCTGTAGCTTCAGCCTCCTCACTTGTAAAATGAATATATTTGTATAAGAGCTCCAAGGTTATCAATTAATCTTCAGCAAAGACGCCAAGAATACACAATAGGGAAAGGAGAGCCTCTTCAATAAATGGTGTTGGGAAAACTGGATATTCACATGCAAAAAAAATGACATTGGATCCTTATCTTACACCATACACAAAAATTCACTCAAAGTCGATTAAAGATTTCAACCTAAGATCTGAAACTGTAAAACCCCCAGAAGAAAACGTATGGGAAAAGCTCCATGACATTGGTCTTGGCAATGATTTTTTTGGATCAGACACCAAAAGCACAGGCAACAAAAGCAAAAATAAACAAGTGAGAGTATATCAAGCTAAAAAGTTTCTGCACAGCAAAGGAAATAGTCAAGAAAATGAAAAGGCAGTACACAGAATGGGAGAAGATATTTGTAAACCATATATCTGATGAGAGATTAAACTCTAAAATACATAAGAAACTCACAGACTCCATAGCAAAAAAATCACAAATAAACCAATTAAAAAATGGACAAAGAACACGAATAGATATTTTTCCAAAGACATATAAATGGCTAACAGGTATACAAAAAGGTGCTCAACATCATTAATCAGCAGGGAAATACAAATCAAAACCACAATGAGATAGTACCTCACATGTTAAGAAAAAAGAAAGAAATCTTGCCATTTACAACAACACAGATTAAGCTGGACACAGAGGACATTATGTTAAATGAAACAAGCCAGATCCAGAAAGATAATTACTGCATGATTTCACTTATATGTGGAATCTAAAAAAGTCAAATGCATAAAAACAGAAAGTATAAATGTGGTTACCAAGGGTCACTGGGTGGGGAAAATGAGGAAATGTTGGTCAAAGGATACAAACTTGTAGTTATAAGATGAATAAGTTCTGGAGACTTAATGCATAGCATGGTGACCATAGTGAATAATAATGTATTGTACACTTGAAATGTGCTAAGAGGGTAGATCCTAAGTGTTGTCACCACCAAAAAAAAAAAAAGATGACTGTGTGAGACAACTGATATGTTAATTAGCTTGATGGTGGCAATCATTTCACAATGTATATGTATATCAAAACATCACATTGTACACCTTGAATATATACAATTTTTATTTGTCAATTAAATCTCAATAAACCTGAAAAAAGGAGTTCCAAAGTCAGAGATAAGATGTTAAAGTTCCTAACAATATATAGCACATAAAAGGCACACAATAAATTATAGCATTATTATAGGGGCTATTATTATCTGCTTCCCCAGCCCAGGAAAAAGGAAGTACCAAATTAGAAAAGGGGAGAAGACACTGTCAGCTGTGAGCAGTGACAGCTAATGCCCTGACAAAAAGGCAGAAAACAGAACACCTACAATACATATCAAATACATAAATACATATCAAATAATTCAAAAAAGAACATCAGTCTTGGCTCTGTTAGCACAGATGCAATTATTAGCCTTATATATCTCAAAAAGATATAGATCCCAATCTAGACCTACTGAGTCAGAAACTCTGGTGGTAGAGCTCAGCAATGTTAGGTTTTAACAAGCCATAAAGGTTATTCTGATGCATACTAAAGTTTCAGAACCACTGCCTTAGCATGACAGGATGAAAAACTGGGGCTAGGAGAAAAGTTGAACCCCAGATAAAACCTGTCCCCTTAGCATAGTAAAAGAGGCCTTATTTCCTGAAACTCTAGCAACATAGAGGAAAATACTTAGTGTACTGTAAAGTTCAAGTGAGCTGCCTCTACAGCCAGATAATTTGGGTTTGAGTCCAGCTCTACCAATTATTAGCTGTGAGCCTGAGCTCAAGGTTCCTTATCTGCAAGATGTGAGAATGTGAGATGTGAGAATTAAATAAAGTGATGTATGGAAACTAAATCTAGCAATGGTAAATAATCACATTATTATTTTTACAATTATTTTCTAAGTCTTATACTACATGTTATATTAATGTTTAACTACTTGCTATTTCCCACACACGTCATGATGATGCATGCTTCCTTGCTTTTGTTTATGTTATTTCCTTTCCCCACAAATTCCTTTCACTTTTCTTCCCTGGTCTAGCAAATATTTGCTAGCTTCCTCCCATTCATCTATTCCCTGCTCCTCCCATGCTTAGACATGAGGTTTGGGTGAGACTGACTTCACTCTAAGCTTGAGGGGTAGGCCCTGGCTTACATAAGCCAATTAGTATCCCACCAGTCGCAGTGATTGGTTCAGGGATAAGTATAATTTACAACCACTGAGAGAAACTAAACCCCTAAATTGAGCTGGAACTAGAGAAAAAGTTAATCTTCCCTAGAGAGTAATGTGTGAGAAGGATAAGGTCTGGAATCACAGAGGCCACTTGGCTTTTCCAAGTGCATAGTTAAGAGAGTGACATGGAAGACACTGTTTGAGCCAATGCGTTAGGCCTCACCTGGAACCAAATCTACCTCTGAACTCTGCAGGCAATAAATTCCCATAAATGTCGAGGCCATTTTGAGTTGGGTCTCTGTCCCTGAATCAAATGAATCAACTCATATTTCCTCTGAGAGACATCACAGGTTAAGGCTCACATCTTCCCGTAAGTCTTCTCTTTCCCCTTCAACCACCCTCCATCTGCAATCCCACAAAGCCCCATCCTTACCTCCATCTTAGAACAAATCATCTATTGAAACGGTCTGTTTTTGTGTCCCTCATTCACCCTAGACTAAATTTAAAGACAGAAACTGTATCTTACTCATCTTTGTAAATTCAGCAACTATAAAATGCCTGGCACATAGGAGATATATTAATAAATGTCTGTTGAGCTAAAGTAATCTAGGCAAAATAAATTTATTCATTGGCAGCTCAGATTGGCTGAGATTTTATTCTATGTGTTTCACACACTACATATGAAGTATGTGAAAAATGCTTTATTTATTACAATTTGGCTACTGATGTTTAGAAAAATGTAGGGATCAATCCAAAACATTACTCAAAAATAAATAAATAAATCCTTCAAATCGCTGTTTTGGAAGCCACTTCAGGAGACATACCAAAGGCTCCCCTTACAGATAATGGAAATAGAAAGAATAGTCCAGAAAAGCCATGAAACTTTTGTAATTCTGATAGAACAAAGCCAACAGGAAGCCTTCATAAAAGCAGTGGGATTTCAGGAGCTATTTAAATGACCTAGCCATGAACCATACTCCAAGAGTCCTTAACACATGCTCAGTACTATATTAGGAGCTGTAAGAAATACAGAACAGCAGCAATATTAACTACTACAACCATTTACT